TGATGAGCTGTGTGGGAAGGGGGGGGGGGGGTGTGAGTTGTCAGTCTACAGGGGTGGGTGGAGGGGTTCCCTTCCACTTCTGAATAGCTCCTATCCTTTGGCTAGTGAGAATGCTGAATTGTTGTAGGACTGTGGCATGGGATTTGGTCATTTTATGATGGTTACAAGAGAAGCAAAATTTGTTAGCCACAACTTTAGATTTAAGCACTAACAGGCTAGCTCATTTAGTTTGCTATTTTACTGTGCATCACATACAGTTGTCATGTTTTAGTTTTCATTAAAGTGTGTGTAAAGGCACAACTTGTGTGTTCGTTTTGTATAGAGGTGGGAAGCATTGGACACTCTGCCAAGTTTTTATTGCAGTTTGTGTCTCTGCTAGGGAGATTTATCCTCTAAAGGTCCTTGTAACCACTATCACCAAGACTGAAAGTAAGTAGAAATCCTACATTTTAAGTTGTCATGAGAAGAAGTGCTAATTTTTCAACTGGGACAAATATTATAGTGACAACTGTTTAAGATGGGAACTCCCTCTCCCCCTTCCTGTTGCATTTTCAAGATAGGAAGTGAAATCTCCCGGGCAGGACACAGACCACAGAAAATAGGCTGATAGGGAGATATAACCCTTTACTGCTTTATCCAAAACAAAAGAAAATGTGGGCTATACATACACTTTAAATAATGAATTCACTTATTTTTCATCCATTTTGTATCTGCTACTGATCTCCTCTATCCTTTTTGAGTCACTTCCTGTCTAAATGTACTTGCTTGAGTGATGCCGTTCAGGTTATTGCCCAGGACTAGAATCTTGATAGTGACAATTGCGCACTATGTCTGCACAATGTTTATTGGCAGGGTCAGTTGTATTCTAAAGAAGTGGCGCAGTGTGACATAGTGACAGTGAAGGTGCTCAATTCAAAGACTACACTTAAAAGGAAATATGCCTGAACTGGGACCTTCATGGCAAAATCACTAGATATTTTAATGAATACTGTATATTTAAAAGGCTTGAAAACAACTTTTGAAATAGCATTAGCATAATTGACTGGGTTTAGATGTTCCTTGATTAGGTCTCTGCTGCAGCCAGTGTATTTGGCACCATGGCAGGAAGGCAGTTCGATATATGGAGCAGCAATAGTAAACATCAAAGAGGAACCCAAGCTGTGTTTTTGTACAGAGGTCCTTTGTATTGTATGTCTAACACTGCGCAATGCTCCATGTTTTATGTACATATTAGGGATGCACTGATTCCGTTTTTCGGTATTGAGTACAAGTACTGATATTTTTTTTAAGTACTCGCCAATACAGATACCAGAAGTCTCATTAAGGAAGCCGGACGGCGTGTAATGACTAGCCGCCCGATTAGCCGGGAAGCCGTCTCCATGCTTTTTTTGTCACCAGGTGATGAGGGAGCATGGAGCCATCTTTCTGGCGAATCAGGAACCCGGGGGGCAGGTAATGACTCGCCGCCCGGCTTCCTGATTTGCCAGCAAGCCGGCTCTATGCTCCCTCATCACCAAGTGATGAGGGAGCATGAAGCTGGCTTTACGGCCAATCGGGAAGCCGGGGGCGAGTCATTACCTGCCCCTCGGCTTCCTGATTGGCCAGGAAATACAGCTCCATGCTCCCTGGTGACGAGGGAGCATGGAGTCGGCTTTCCAACCAATCAGGAAGCCGTGCAGCACGTAATGACTCACTGCACGGCTTCCTGATACCGGAAGTTCCAGTATGGGGATAGTCATTGGGAGCATTTGGGTGAGTACGAGTATCTGTATCAGCACTGATACTAGTATCTGTATTGGTGCATCCCCATCATACATATGTATGTTTCATGTATTCTTTACAATAATGCTAATTTATAAGGAATATAGGATTCCCAGACCTTCGGCGTGCTCCCTGTAAAATAAATCCTGGCTTCTATGTCTGATCAGTGCTAAATACAATTGATATGCTTGATATAGCTGCTTGTCTTGCAAATCTCTAGCCATGTTATTATTTTCAACAGGTTTTGAAATAGATCCCTGTGCTTATTAATGCAAATTATAGAAGATATGTGAGGACTATCGACTGCCTGCATTGTTCCTGAATATGGGGTGTTTAATAATAAACAGATTCTATTTGAATGGTCTTATTACACTGAGCAAAAAAAAAGAAAAAGTAATGTTGAACTGTTGCCCATTGTACAAAATGCAACATATGATATGCTTAGAAAAGAATGAAATTTAAGCCCATCTCATTCGTATGGGGTATCATCTTTCTAGAAATCAGAACCAGAGACTAAATCAAATTCCTGCACCAGGCTCTAATCTTACTAACTTGAGCTCAAGCCAAGGGGTGCAATATTACCAGGAAAGGAGGGATCACAAAATTTGAGACTGATTTGAAAAGAAACAATATCTTTTGTAGCAAGCAAGCATGATATCAAACTTCACCATGCACAGACGGGCTATTAATTCAGGAAAAGTAATGGAGTAAAATAATGACAGGTTCAAAGTTTCAGGGAAGACAGGATGATTTAACTAAACACCAACCCAAAGCTAACATTGAGTGGCTTATTTATAAAGACAGTGAAAAGGGTAACAATGAAGTGCAAAGTGCTGTTCCCTATGAAAGGTTCCTTTTATTTAGAATAATAATGAAATAACATTGCTGTTTGGTTGCTATTGGTAACGGCACATGTATCCTATTTATTGAGAAGCTTGTCAAGTAAAAACTGCTGGCAATAGGATAAGTAATCAGATTCACGTGTTTATTGATGCTGAATTCTGGCCACAAAAATGTGTATGTAAATATATTCCTCAACAGCCACAAAGTATATTAATCCACTTTGTGTGCTCCAAACACCTTTGCACCCCGAGTTTTTACCTTGTCAGAGTAGCAGTGACATCATCATGCGGAGCGTGCGGAGATCAGAGCTTGGTGTGTGTGTTCTTTTTGTGGTGGGGGGCAGCAGGTCCACCCCCTACACACATGCCTTCAGAAAACTACTGTATGGTAGATACAATACCAGTCACACTGCACAAGTAGAGGGAGTAGCAGGGACTGGTCTTATTACAGGAAGCTCCAGCATACAGAGAAAGTTTTACACTGGAATGAGGTAGAAATACACAAAGCATACCAATATTCAAGTAAGAATAGACCTGCTGCTTGTATTTAGACCAAATTTGTTCATCGTGGAGTTCATTTCTTTCAGTGAGGCAGCTTTTAAAACATGAGTTATTTAGTAGATAATAAAAGATCCCTTATACTTTGTGTATGTTTGTTGGATATCTAAAATACAAGATCATTTGCTGAGATGACAAATTGCACTAAATTATTAGCCTTCAGGTCTATGTGCCACTGATGATGTAAAAAGTTCTAATGCAACTAATGATGCACTTGGCACACATTTATTCAGGGATGGCTCAGATGGGTTTTGAAGTGGTCAGATCGGCTGATAGATCACAAATCAAAGTAAAATGGCACAGTCCCAAATCCACTTGTGATAAAAAAAAAGTTTGTGGAGTTATGTATTTTAGAAATATCTTCTGGTCTTCATCAAAAGTAATAGATGACGTCAGTCTGATTGACCAAACAAGCATAACAAACTGCTATATCATTAAACTAATGATTCCAGCAATCAAAGGCACTATTAAAATAGTTGGCCACTAAAAAAAAAGAGTAAGTCAGAGTAAGTCACTGGCAGAACCTCATTCATTTGGTAAAATCTCCCACTGAGCACTTTTATTAGCTGCAGACTGGATCTTTGCATCAGTTAGCAGAAATGTCAGTGCAATCCTGTATATGTATTGCCATTTAAATATATTTGTTGGGATGTTTTCTAAAAACCTGAGAAGACTGCACCATAAAATCTAAACTGGTCAGGACTATGACATCGGCCATTTTAAAAATACAGTATTACTTCTGTCTGAGCCATTGTATAGACTTTGTTTACTGTGTTTTGGATCATTGTAATATTACATGGTCCAAATGTTGGGGGTTTAAAGTGACATTAAACTCAGGAGTTAAACCTTAAAATGCATTCTAGTACCTTAACTACCGTAATAACAATATTGTAGCTTATTTGTGTATGTCTTGGCTGTTGATCCTCAAATCATCTCTGAATTTGTCCTTCCTTCTGGGGGGTGGCTACGTTTGTTCCCACGAGCGAGCTTGGAGCGGTGGCTACTTCACAACACACTCAGGGACTATGGGGAACAAACGTAGCCACCCTCCAGAAGGAAGGACAGTGTCAGCATGAGTTTAAAGATGATTTGAGGATCTACAGCTGAGTGATTCACAAATAAAATACATTTTTGTTAATAGTTAAGGTACTAGAATATATTTTTAAGATCTAACCCCTGAGTTTAGTGTCACTTTAAGATCACTGTGGCTTTGCCATTGTTCTGTAATTATTTGATCCCTCAATGATTACAAGCAGTCCAGCCCCACACTATAATACTAATTTCATGTAGCTTCACATTTAAGATAAGTATTTTTGTATCCCTTTTTAGTTTTATGAGCTTCAGCAACTCCTCTTTTGGGGTCTGCTGAAATCTGTTTTGCTAGAGCTTTGGAATACTTCTGCAGAATTCTGTTGTGAAGAACATAAATTGTGAGATTGTTTTTAATGCAGCAGTGCAGCTCAAACTGACAAAAGAATTGAATGGGACACAGGTTCATTACAGTGAAAACCTAACTTCAACTACCATCGTAACATGCCATTATTTTGGATGACCCACATATAAGTGTCATCGATATGCCAAGATTTGGCAATGTAAAACGTTTTGTGTTCTCTTTTTTTTTTTTGGGATTGCATATGAGAAAAACCTCCCAAACACAGAGTGCAGATAATGGGCCAGATAAATGAAGACTGGCAGTTGTTGAAAAATGCGAATTGTTGCACGTAAAATCTTATTTTGGCACATCACATGTAAAAAAAAAACAAATATGTTGCAACACATATACTGTAGTTTATTCGTCGCATTGTAGAATGTGTAACTGTCTTGCGCCATTATCCTCTTGGCACACTACTGCACACCTCTATTGCCCCAGGTATTGACAAACTGATTTTCTGAACCATTATTTATTTGGTGCAGATTGTGAGACTTTTTGTGGGAAAAGTTGCTCTTGGAAATTGGTTCATTAGTTTCATCTTTCTTTGTAAACCCTGCCCACTGAAAAATTATTGGCACATCCAAAAAAGTGAATGGGACACAGGTTCATTACAGTGAAAACCTAACTTCAACTACCATCGTAACATGCCATTATTTTGGATGACCCACATATAAGTGTCATCGATATGCCAAGATTTGGCAATGTAAAACGTTTTGTGTTCTCTTTTTTTTTTTGGGGATTGCATATGAGAAAAACCTCCCAAACACAGAGTGCAGATAATGGGCCAGATAAATGAAGACTGGCAGTTGTTGAAAAATGCGAATTGTTGCACGTAAAATCTTATTTTGGCACATCACATGTAAAAAAAAAACAAATATGTTGCAACACATATACTGTAGTTTATTCGTCGCATTGTAGAATGTGTAACTGTCTTGCGCCATTATCCTCTTGGCACACTACTGCACACCTCTATTGCCCCAGGTATTGACAAACTGATTTTCTGAACCATTATTTATTTGGTGCAGATTGTGAGACTTTTTGTGGGAAAAGTTGCTCTTGGAAATTGGTTCATTAGTTTCATATTTCTTTTTAAACCCTGCAAACTGAAAAATTATTGGCACATCCAAAAAAGCAGGTTTCCGTGCATAACATGGCACACTGACAATGGTTTATCTGGCCCTATGTCTCTACGGGGGGTGCATTCTCATGACCCAGAGCTGTAAGGGAAGAGCGGAGACGAGTTGGCCACTGTGCCACTCTGTCAGCTAAGCAAAAGGCCCCTGCCAACTAACATCAACAAAAGAACAGCAGGTTCCAACCTTTATCTGGAAATAAAAAGCCCCTTAATCAATGACACTATATCTATTTGAATATAGGCTGTTGTATATGGAGACGATTTGCAGCATTTCTTAACTCCCTGCTCCACTGTAGCTGTTATTGTGATGCTAACTAGTGGAGTTCAAGGCATTGTAGCATACGCATTCTAGCTAGTCGCTGCATGTTTGGGAGCTTAGGGTGGCATCCCCACTGATCCACACTACTCTTTTTTTTACTATTTCAGCAGAATGCCAGGCGAAAGTAAAGGTGCGCTGTTCCATTGGACCCTAAGCAGTGTACTAAGAGTCTAAAATATTTAACCGCCACCAGGATTTGCTGAAGGTGTTTGTAGTAAGCTGGTGGAGGTGCGCTGCAGGGTCCTAGGCATCCCTGACTTTAGGCCCACTAGAGCCCTCAGTGGAACCCCGGTGACATAAGGGACCCTGCAAAAGGCCTCTACTTTTTTTCACATTTTAACAATAGAAGGACCTCATTCTAGATATATGCCAGGCTCTGAAGTGTTTGTTATGAATAGTATAGTGAATCAAATTTATAATGTACAGCAGACATCAAAGATGCATTTTGCGGTCCTTCCATCATTGGAGCATGCAAAATATTGAGCTTCTGCATCAATTGGTGACCCAGCACTAGAGTGGAAAGGACTTCTTTTGTTTTATTGTTTTTTAAAGATGTAACATCTATTTACTATGATCCTAGTTTTATAAACACAATTACTTCTTAGATGAAGAATATTGGGCTGATTTGGTGTCTATAATTCTTTCATTTTACTGTCTCTGGATTTGATCTTAAACATGGTTAAGCAAATAAAAAAGGCTGGACTTAGAAAATGATTGGGCATGAAATGATCACATTTAATCCATTTGCATTTCAGAAGAGCAGTTTTACAGACGACATTGGAATGGCTAACTGGATGGAGCACATTTTTCTCTCCCATGGTGCATTGCTGGCTAAGAGCTGTCGGGCTGCAATGGAGCTAGCCAGGCATGATTCAGAGATCCAGTCTACGGCTTTCCAGTATGGAAAACACATGTCCTTAAGTTATAAGGTATGTATTTGCTGTCACGTCTTCTTCAGCATGTGTCGGATGGATTGCAGACTGTACATCCCTGTTGGCTGAGGCACAAGGACCTCTCTACATGTCACAACTGATGTTTTTTATTTTGCTATGTTCTTGCTCCGAGCTGTGTAATATTTTGTTTAATAATGATTTGCATAGATGACCAACTTCTCAGATCTGTCAGGATGTTGTATGTCAGTGATCTGTGTGGTCTTTCCCAGCTAAATTGCTTGGATTCTTCATTCACATTGTGGGAAGAGGGTACTTCTAAATTACATTCCATCTCATACCCACAGGTAGTTAATTTTTTGGCAGGCAGCGAAAATTATTGAAAGTTCATATAAGGTAAATTATAAGTGGAGGAACTGAATTATTGGTTTGTTTTGGCTCTGCACACAGTCTTGCCAGGTTTTGACCAAAATATGTAACTAAACCCCTTCTGTCGAATGAAGACATATGAAGGAATTTTTTGATCTAGACTGGAAGCGCGTTTGTTTCTGGTACATGAATGAACAGACAGGAACTAGCTGTGTAGACTGTGTATGACTTTAAATTTGAATGCAGCATCAGTTAATTATACTTCCAGACATGCAGGTTATTAATGTCTTTACTACTCAGTATTTTTAAAGGGAAATAAAACACTGTAAAATATTTCTAGAATATATGTTAGCTTTCCATTCTGGAGACTAAACTACAATTTATTTTATAATGCAGTCTGTCACAATAATTGCCCAACTCATGGGTAGGCAACCATGGCACTCCAGCTATGTTAAAACTACAAACCCCATCCTGCCTTTGGGAGTCATACCTGTTCCTTTCACAGTCTTGCAATGTCTTTTAGGGCTTGTAGTTCCACAACAGCCTGTAGTGCTCAGGTTGCCTATCTCTGGCCTAAATTCTCGAGTGTAGCTTTCTAGAATAAATAGGAAAGCTGAATGATTGCTGTGGGCAACTGCCTTATTGTTTGATTGCCTAAGTTTGTGTATACATTTGACCTGGGGAGTGCAGCAGCCAGAATTCACTTCTGGATGACCCAATACATGTCTATAGGCATGTAATTACGCAATTGTTTTGTTTAGTAATATTTGTAATATAGCGTAGACTCCTGGTTGGCAGGCATAGCGTATTGTCATCGATTTCAGTAATTGCAAACTTCCCAAAACTGGTGCATAATATTTTAGTATTCAGAAACGGTTTATATAAATACTTTACTGTGCATAATCTGGGCACAGGTTCACTTTAAAAAGAAATGTAATATGTAACAGTGGGGTTGGATTGATAGAGATACTCCATGCATTTTGTTTTAATGCAAGTACAGATTGAGCTTGTCTATCAGCATGCAATAAAATGAGAATGGGCCTTTGACTATCACTAAAACTTACTGCTGCTTTTGCTATATTTGTTTTCAGAGGCGGCTCTAGACTTTGCGAGGCCTTAGAGGAAAGTAAGGTCAAACTTAAACATGAGGTCCCACTCACAACCATAATGGAAAATTGATGGCTGCGTGGGGTTTTAGGAGGCTGTGGGTCTCAGGGGGCTGTGCTTTTTATTTTTTTTAAACTTTTTTTATTTTTAAGTTTTAACTTAATTTTTTTGCATTTTTATTTTTAAATTATTATTTTTTTTTGTATCAAATTTCAAATATTTTTGTATTTTTAATTTTAATTTAACTTTTTTTATTTTTATAAACTTTTTAAAAACCTTTTGTATTTTTAATTTTAG